ATAATGTCGAATAAAAAAAAATCTATTACTTTCTTGGAAATATATACATACATGTATTTCAGGAGTACACCTGATCCCCCCCATCCTGGCCCCAAAAATCAATTTGCAGCTTGCCTCCGTGAAAATGATGGGAATTAATGGAGTGTTTTCCCGATGCTTTCTTCTCTGTTTGAAATTCAATGTTTTTTCTTCTCTTAGAATGGTTGCCACCCAAAACTAGGGGGTCCCGTCTGCACTAATATTTAACCAGGGGTGGCGGATTCATGCCTTTTCCAAGGGCAATTATGCGAAGGTGAATGCAACTGAAAAGGCAGGAATTCCACTTTCCGCGTTTATATTCTTGACTCTGCCCGGACATAACCATTGCGAATTAAATAATGATTTACTACCACGCTACCTAACGCCCAGGCAATCTCCTCGCAACACAGAGAAGAGACAAATAATATTTGAGTGGTCATACTCCCAAAGAGGCTCCATGGCTCAAACGCTTACTGGGTCCAAAGCTCACTCTCGATCTAAATGTATCGAGAAAAGTGCTCCAAAATAATCGTTCGAAAAGAATTATTCGAAAAGAAATTTCCGTATATTCTCGCACATCATGCGCCTTTTGAAGAACTAATTTTAGAAGTTAATTTTAAGATGGTCGCATCATACACGAGATTAGCGTGTGTCCTGGTTACGCCGTTGACGAAAATATAGATCCATTAACTGTAGTCAAAATATACAGCTGTATTTAAAATAAATATGATTTTGATAACTGATGTTTTACTTTACTGTATTCAATAATAATGTGCGTAATATTCACATATTAGTATCGTATTATAAAATACAAACAGCGAATATGCATCTTTTCCATTTATTTCTATTTCTCTCTCTCTCTCTATCTCTCTCTCCCCATATATATATATATATATATATGTGTGTGTGTGTGTGTGTGTGTGTGCGTGTGTGTGTGTGTGTGTGAGTTGGGATCAAATATTGATCATATATAATATATATGATTCATTTATTATATATTTTTATTTTATTAAAGGATAAAAGTGAATCATGTTAGATATATACATTTTGTGTGTATATATATATATATATATATATATATATATATATATATATAAGTGTGTATATTTATGTGTGTGTGTGAGTGTGTGTGTGTGACAGTGTTGTGTTCGAAAATCTTCATTTACAGCTTCCCATGGAAGGGCATGAAAATTAATCGTCGGACTGTAAGACTCTAAGACATTTTTGTTCTTTTGCGTGCAAACTCTTTTTCAGTCATTGATTGAAAGACTAAGAGAAAGGAAAACGTCTGCTGCTCCTGACTTAACTCTTCGCCAGAATTGATTGACTACTGGTATATTTATGTAGATCACGATATAATACGTTAAAATTGATTTATTTTTTTTGGAAATCATAAGTCGGTCGAGTTATCCGGCTAGAGTTCCATAAGCGAAATTTTGAATTTACCTAATCAGGAGCTATCTTAAACAATGAAATTAATATCAAGTCTTCAAAAATGATCATAACGTTTAGAAAATTCAATTACACACACACACACTGTTTCTTATATATATATATATATATATATATATATATATATATATATATATATATGTGTGTGTGTTGTGTGTATGTGTGTGTTTGTGTTAAAATCATTTCATTCAAAGGTTCTAAGACACTTTTTTTATCCTTTTGCATTTATATTTTGTATGTATTAAGAGTGTGTTTTGAATTTACGTGTCACAAGAATTCATCAAAACAACGACTATACATTCTATTCTGGTGGAAGTTTATACAGTGTAACCCGGATATAAGAGACCCGGATATAAGAGAAACCCGGATATAAGAGAAACCCGGATATAAGAGAGAGTTTCTCTGGTCCCAAAGTGTTCAAAAACAAAATAAACCAAACCCGGATATAAGAGAAACCCTGATATAAGAGACTTCTTCTCCGGTCCCGACAACTCTCTTATATCCGGGTTACACTGTATACACTTAACAATGATGTGACTTTCGGCTACACCTAGATAGACGACCGCTTGAGAACACCAGGTACTGCGAGCTCGGATGTGTGGATGTTGCAATGGATGACAGCACAGAACTGAAAAGCGGAGAGCCGAGCTCCAGTTCCAATTGGGTTAGTTAGATTTACTTATGTGCAAATATTCAGAAATTTGTAAGCATTTTATTTGTCAATGAATGGATGGAGGTATAACGATTGCAGATTGAGTCAATACCTCAGCTGTTACTATTTTGATTTTTGTGTCATATCACATGTGAACCTATAAATTGCAATCGACATTTCTAGGTTCAGTGGGCGCCGATGCATGGTCCGTTATAGACTGATGTAACTTCCATCGTTATTTTTACAGGGAAGTCAATATCTTTCAGCAGATTTAGTAGTTTTGATGGCGATAGACACACCCTCAATTATCGACTCTCGGGGGAGAAAAACAAAAAAGAAGCTACGAAGCCAAAGTGATTTCTATGCAAGAATTATTCCCATCAGCTATGAAGGAATGATATAAAGGGAAAATCTCACTGAAAATCTAATCAACGACATTTTCACCTGATTTTTGCCAGTCGAGTTATAATAAAATTATGTTGCATTTTGAAGGTTATCCATCACTTAACAAAAGTTCAAGTGCATTGGAATAGAAACTAAAAATACCGCACAATGTCATTTAATTTCCTCTTCTATATATATATATATATATATATATATATATATATATATATATATATATATATATATATATATATATGTTTATTTAGGCCTCACATCTTTTTTTAAATGTCTGATTGAATAAATTACAAACATTATGTCGGCTTATTTTGATCATAATCTTTTCATATTCACTAATATTTTCTGTATATTACAATTACAGTGCATTTCTTGCTTTATTCAGTTGTAATATACGGAAAAATATTCGTGAATATGAAAGGATTATGATAAAAATAGTAAACATAATGTTTGTAATTTATTCAATCAGTCATCTAAATATATATATATATATATATATATATATATATATATATATATATATATATATCTCAACATAATTAATATTAATAATATATATAGAAAATAATATCAAGTCCGTATCAGATCTTTCGAGATGTGTTAAGTTTTTCCATTGATATATATATATATATATATATATATATATATATATGTGTATATATATGTGTGTGTGTGTGTGTGTGTGTGTGTGTGTGTGTGTGAAAATATATAGAAAATAGGAAAGAACTCGTTAGGTAAATAATCCAAAGTTCTTTAGTATTTTTGTTATTATTTTTAGAAAAACAGTGGTCGATACAAAAGTAGAGCCTAAATATAATTATTTATTTAAAAATATGATTCCATCGCTACATAAGAACTCTCATGTTTCAATATTCAAAATTGGAAAGAACTCCTTAGGTAAATGAAACATGAGAACTCTTATGTAGCGATGGAATCATATTTTTTAAATAAATAATTCTCTCTCTCTCTCTCTCTCTCTCTCTCTCTATATATATATATATATATATATATATATATGCATATTTAGGCAGCATATCTTCAAACATATTTCATTACATAATATAGACATATTGTCTTTAATTATTTTTATACTGATCCTTTCAAGTTGTCTAATTAATTTCTTGATATTAAGATGAAATTCATAAAGCAATACGTCGTTGTTTTTGCTTTTTTTAATCCAAGTACTTTCGACCTTTTCTAAGATCCTCTTCAGAGTTAAATTACAAATACAACATGCACATGTAGCTACGATAAAATCTGCATTCCGTGTTCATAGTGATTTTCAAAAGCACGCTCGGACGCGCTCTGTGATAGTTATTTAAGAATTTTAAAATTTATCTCCTGTTGTTATGGATTTTTATGGACAAGCGTTTTAATATAAGGGAGCTGACCAGGAATAAGTAGAAATGTAAAATGGCATTAGTATATGATATATGTACTTTAATATGTTTTTGCTCTATTCGTTACAAATTTTGTCAGTGGTTCTTGGTAAAAATGTTCATATCGAGGGCCCCGAGAATTTGAAATTGTTCTTTCTTATTTTCGTGATGTTGTATATTGTTGTTGTCAACAAGTATTTTACTGTATTGTAAAGATGGACAGGGGTTTGTTTTCAGATGTTGTGCAGTAGAACCTCTACCCGAAAATGAAGTGTATGTCGTCTTGATAATATATATATATATATATATATATATATATATATATATAGAGAGAGAGAGAGAGAGAGACAAAGACAGAGACAGAGAAAGACAGAGAGAGAGAAAGTGGCTGATGATAGCCGTGTACACAATGGCGTGGAATAGACTAAGTTGAGATTATTTTTTGATTTTTTGCTGTAAAAAAATAGATATATTCTCTTATAATAAATGCAAGAGATCTTTGTGGATCTGTTTTAATAACTAATATTACTAGGATCCATTCGAATTATATATCAATGGATCGATTACCTGGATATATATATATATATATATATATATATATATATATATATATTCAAACATGTCTGCTTTTCCTACATTATTTAACCAAACCCGTTTGAATAAAGATATGCTACCAACATTATATATATATATATATATATATATATATATATATATATATATATATATGTGTGTGTGTGTGTGTGTGTGTGTGTGTGTGGACATTCAGATCAACATAGAGAGGTGACAGTATGTTTTAAAGTTGAACACAATCTTCATGTTTGAAGACTGCGTTCAAGCATGTAACAGACAGTTGCCGCTTAATTTTGACTTGCCTGCCCACGTTTATATTTACATATGCTCTGTCCCTGATATTGAGAATTTCCCCATAAACACGCCATACCGTAAAACTATTTTTATCACAAAAACATACGTGAATATATATATATATATATATATATATATATATATATATACACACACTATCTTTATGTTGACAGGAATATGAATCCTGATTTTCTAATAAAGATAATTCAATAAAGGGCTAACGTTTTTTTGAATCACCTTATATATATATATATATATATATAGAGAGAGAGAGAGAGATAGATAGATAGATAGATAGATAGATAGATAGATAGATAGATAGATAGATTCAACCTTATACAACCTTAGCCTCAAATTAATCAATACCACATAGGTAGGGATAATTACAAGGGGACATTAATCCAAAGAGAGCTTAATGTAAGTAACAGAGCAATATAATAATAAGACAATCCCGAAAACCAAAATGGATTTTTAAGGATTACTTATTATTAATATATATTATTTACTTTTATATATAAGGAGGAGGCACGGTGGAGCAGTGGTTAGCATCTTGGTTTGAGGAATCGCAGAGCCGAGTTCGAATTCCAGTCGAATCCACTGCATTCACTTACGTGCTAATACCCTTGGGAAAGGTATGTATCCTCTTCATCTCCCTCCAGCTATGGGTAAAATAGCAGGACAGACTGGGTTCTATAGCCTTGGATGGTAACTGGTCTAGGAGAAGGACAACTCTGAATTCAAAACATGGTCGTTTGGGAACCTTGTGGCATGCATTCGGTGCACCAGGTTTCTGTATTCGTCCCTCCAAAAAGTGTGGCTGGTCCTGCACAAGGCCTTCACCACTATAAACAAATCTCATGTGCCGGTCCCGGTGTCGGGATGTCGGTTTCCTGGGGACTTATCGGCCTGACCCTCATACGTCGAACGCGACGGGAGAGTCGATTATATATATATATATATATATATAAAACACAGCCTGTACTCAAATATGCGTATCCATTCATAATAATGTTTAAACGTTATTTTGAATGGATACGCATATTTGAGTAGATGCTCTATTTTTTTTACTAAACAGTATATTGATTTATTAACATCTACTGGCCTGAATATTGGAGAAATCTTGTTACAAAAATATGCAACTTCAGGCAGGATTTGAACCTGCGGCCCCTATCGGCAACCGTCGGCCAAGTAGTACTTATGTGAAAGCGAACGTAACGAACTCGGCTGGTATTACGAACTTCGTTTTCCCGCTCGCTAATTGTTACACTACTCATAAACCATGTTTCTCGATTTGTTTTCTTGAATAATGGATTTGTTTGTGTTCATTGTGTTTAATTAATATAATAAAAACCAAGCAAACATTGAAGCGTTAAGGATAATTCAGCGACGATTTGGTTTCTACGCAAGCAGGCCAACCCTTGCACTATGACGCCTACGTGCAGTATTTGCAATAAACAACTACGACAATGTTTTAAGCTGGCGAACTGCTTTAATCACAGCACTTTCGCTAATACATACGCATATCTATCAAAGAAAAGACAGTATAGCGTCGCGGAGCGAAGAAATGTGATTTGATCCACCTAAGGTCGAGTATTATAGCTAGCTATTTACTAAAAACACATTGAATTGCAGAGAATGGAAGAGAGAGTTTTTTTTTTTTTAATCAATTCACTCCCAAACAAGGCGATGAAGCCACTAAGACGCGAGGGTTGTTATTGAGAGTGAAAAACGATAAGATAACCTTATTGAGAACAAAGAACAATAAACGAACAGGATTCAAGGTGACAGAAAATACGATTGACATTGAAATTAGATTTTTGAAGATCGTATTTGGCAGGAAAGCATGAAGCCAGGAGAGAGTCCCAGAATTGGGAAGCGCGGGAGAAGAAAGACACATTAGTAAAGCAGTATAATGATGAGACCTAACTGCCAATCTAGTACTGCGCTTAAATTATTGAAAACGAGAAACAAAGAGGAAAGTTTGGGAAGACGAGGTTCCAAAAACGAAAAACATTTTTTTAACATTATTTCCTTGTATACTTCACTGCTTTGATTTTGAACGATTATATCGAATTAGTTCCTTAGTCTGCTGTTAGGAAAGTTGGTTCACTGTGTTGAATAGGCAATTTTATCGCCCGAATTCATCTTTCGCCTTTTCCAAACACTGGCAAACGGACCTTTGCCCTTTTCAATTTCTTTTTTCTTTTACAGTGGCCTCTCATGACATTGATGGTTTTCCTAAATCATTTTGTAGCTCTTAGATTTTACGGCATATCAACATCTATGGGTTATTTAATGCCGAAATCTAAATATTTTAAACAGTTTTATTTTTTATAACTTCAACCACAGATAAAATGTATTGGTAGTAATTTTACTATAAATATATATATATATATATATATATATATATATATATATATATATGTTGGTAATTTTTGTATTTATATTTTTTTATGTATAAAAATGAATTGCTGGTTGGTTTGGCTTTGGCTTAGGTTGTTTTACGGTATATCAACCTCAATGGGTTATTTAGTTAAAAAATGTATAGTTAGTAATTTTTTTTTAAATGTATAGCTGGTAATATCTTTTTTTTCAAAAATGTATTGCTAGTAATAATTTTTTTACAAAGGTTTCCTGGTATTAAAACCTATTTTTACACTTTCAAGTTTGGGGGGGTTATCTATTTACCCATAGCTGGGACCCTAAAAGATGCTACCATCCGGGTCAGGTTCTCACTACCTTAACCAGGTATTGAACTCACAACTCTTTGGGCCCTATCACTGGATCTAAATAACGCTTTTATCCACTGTTGGCTTGGAGAGGTGAATTAACAGGAGGTAACTGATAATTGACATCCATTAGACATGGCACGTGGAACTAGAACAGTCTACCCCAGTGAGCGAAATAAAGGGTTCAGTTCGACATTCCAACCACCTGAAGAAGGCCGGAGTGTACAACGGCTGAAGTTGTGATAAATATGGCAACAAAGATGAGGACAATAGTCCGAATAATGTAAATAGTGTACATAATACCTTATATCAGAAATAGACAAATACTGCCAGTTGCCATCTTCTGTCTTCTTGAATTCTTTTTTCTTTTTATTGTCCATTTTTCTCAGTAAAATCTTCTCACCCGTTTTCCCTCCCAGTAACCAGTTGTGTCTTAGTGACATTATCACCTTGCTTAACGTAACTACGACGTGGACGTATCTCTTCAATTGACCAATCGTTAATCAGGAGTCAAATTAAATAAGTGACGTTTATTTATATGAAAGAAAACAAAAATACTATAAAGTTGTAAATTAGTGGCTAAAATTTGGAATGGTTAACCAGCGATCTCCAGGCATCATTCCCATTTAAATCCCAAGCCGCATATTTTAGCCAATAACAACGTAACCGCTGTGTTGACACGACTCCACAATTGACCAATCATCAATCACGAGGCAAATGACGAGTTTCTTCCGATATTTCGATAATTATATAGTTGTTTTTTTTTTAATCAAAATCTGTGATGCATAATTTCTCTTGCAGTCAAAAACTACATTTCCCAAACGCTGCCAAACGGACCTTCATCCTTTTCAGTATCTTCTTTATTTTCTCTGTATATTGGGGGTCATCGCTCTCCACAATTTCCTGTCACTTTATAGCTCTATAGTAAACTGTTATTTTTGCTATCTCTCCTAAACTGTGTTTTGCTATCCTTTTACAAAATCCCTTTAGGTAGGTTACGAGCAGTTTTCATCTCTCCCTTTTGCCTTCAATATGACATGTGTACATTAAATTTTCCAAGCCCTCTTACCTCATTATGCGTCCTGAAAATTTTAACTATCTCTTCCTGCTGTTAAATATAAGTGTTCTTTTTGCTTCCTTTTTTTCCCTAACACTTCGTCGTTGCTCACGTGTTTAGTACGTGGTATTCTCAGCATCCTTCTTTTACTTCAAGTCTTTCTTCATCTGTGATCTGATTGTCCAAATTCCACTGGTAAATAAGAAGACCGATATTGCATAATGCCTAAGTGCACTTTCCTTAGTTGTTTTTAAGAACTTTTTCTGTTTCTTAATACTTTGCTTAGCTTTTGGAAGACATCTTTCGCTATTCCATATGTGTCTTCTAATTTCGTTACCTCACTTTAAGTCCCCTTTTAAAACGCTTCCCAGATATTTAAATAGTTGTACAGAGTTGAATTTCGTATTTCCAATTGATTGCATGTTGGGCTGTTTCTTTTACTAACAACCACGCATTCTGTCTTCTTGCAATTGATGTTTAGTCCTTTCTTCTCGCTTTCCATCACTATCTTCTGTAAGAGTTCTTGTTGCTTCCGTCTTCTTACAATAGTCCAACAAAATTTTTAGTGGATGTAGGCCTTTGTCCCCACCCCAACCAGAAATATTAAAATTAATGTCTACCGGAATCCGAGAAGTCTTTAGCAAAGAAAAATGAGCCTCCTGATAGGAACGCATTCCTTTTCCCCCAGAGGAAACGCTTCTTTAAACAAGGTGCGCCTTATCCATTGGTCACGCGAAATCAACATAATAAAATAAGCATCAATTGATTGCTTAAACATTTCTCGTTGGGACCTATCGAAGTCTTTATATGTGCCAGTCATTACTGGAGTACTTGGAATGTTCCGGAAGAGTTTTTTTTTTTTTAATAATGTTGACCCAATACAAGACCTAAGGGCCACTCAAGGTAGAGGGTTAATGTGTGGAGTTATATTAGCGTAAGAAAGGACAAGATAACAGGAAAGATAGACGGTTAATTCTAGACATGAATAGGTCAAGATTTAATTAGCGAATAACATTTCAGGCGGGTATGTTAGTAGTATAGAGTTGAAGTAGACTTTAGAAGGGACCGGAAACCCAATGCTAAACAGTAAACAAGAGATGAACAACTACTCCTGTTCAAAAGGCCGTGGAGGTGTATGAACTGTGTGATAGCCAAACATAATACTCTTATTGGGAGAGGATAAAAATGATAATATTTACCGAATAAAATTTCAGATTTCAGGCGGAGACGTGAGTTAAAGAAAACAGAAACCCAATCCTAAACAGAAAAAAAAAGCGATAAACCGCTACTTCCGTTAAAAAAAAAATAGGAAGGAGTGCGAACTGGATGATAGGCGTACCTCGCGATACTTTTTGTAAAGCGGTTTGAAAACAGTAAAAATTACAGGATATATATATATATATATAAAAAAGCATTATTCAGTCTATTCAATCTCAAGTTCACCTCAAACCACAAGTGGAACCCATGTAAACGATACATCTCCAAAGAAGCGGGAAAGATGGCCGACTCATAGTTCCTCTCCTGAAAGTATCTGACTCCTATCATGCTTTAATCGGT